TTCTCTCAAAATGAGGACTCACTTGTAAGCAGATTATTTGAAAGTTAATCCCAAGAAATGCCAAAAGGGGAGTCAGAGCACCAATAAAGGATGGTAACCAAGTAAGGGTGAGTTATGGAGCTGGTTACTCCTGTGAGCTGCTGGGGAGCTTAGGAAATTAGTAAAACACACCTCAGGGTTATCTCAACCAGGGGTGAGGAAGCAGGGTATCCATCCATCAGTCACATTAGGGGTTGCTTCCTGGGGAACTAACTCTCTGTGCAGTTCTGTCCTGTGATGTCCCAGGCTGAGTGGGCTCTCAGTCAGGGCAAAAGAGGCTTGAGTCAATTGCAGGTGTTTGCTTTAAACTTTAAGATCGTGGAGGATATGGCCAGGGGAAATGGGCCAGACACAGACAGGATCTGCTACACTTGGGCTAACAAAAAATTGGTGAAATGGGGAGTGGTGCCTGCTAGAAATCACAAGACCATGTTAGTTTCAAGTCAATGTATCTTTTCTTGAGGTAGGTAGAATAGGCAAAGGTTATTTGCAATGATAAAAATCACTGGGTGGGTTTTGGGGGAACCCACCCCCAATATTTCAATGTAGGTTCTTTCTATTTTCTGTGAGTGTCAGCCAGCTGATAAATAAAGAGAAAGAGTACAAAGAGAGGAATTTTACAGCTGGGCTGCCGGGGGTGACATCACATATCAGTAGGACTGTGATGCCCGCCTGAGCCTCAAACCAGTAAGTTTTTATTAAGGGTTTTAAAAAGGGGAGGGGTTGTAAGAAGAGGAGTAGGTACAAAGATCACATGCTTCAAAGGGCAAAAAGCAGAACTACTAATAAGGATCTAACAAAGTTCACATGCTTTGGAGGGAACAGGACAAAGGGCAAAAGCAGAAGTACTGATAAGGGTTTATGTTCAGTGGTGCATGTATTGTCTTGATAGACATCTTATACAACAGAAAACAGAGTTTGAGAGCAGAGAATCAGTCTGACCACAAATTTACCAGGGCAGGGTTTCCCAACCATAGTAAGGCTGAGGGTACTGTAGGAGACCAGGGCATATCTCAGTCCTTATCTCAACCGCATAAGACAGACATTCCCAGAGTGGCTGTTTATAGACCTCCCCCAAGGAATGCATTCCTTTCCCAGGGTATTAATATTAATATCCCTTGCCAGGAAGAGAATTCAGCACTATCTCTCCTACTTGCACATCCATTTATAGGCTTTCTGCAAGAAGAAAAATATGGTTCTTTTTGCCCAACTCCACAGGAAGTCAGACCTTATGGTTGTCTTCCCTTGTTCCCTAAAAATTGCTGTTATTCTGTTCTTTTTCAAGGTGCAGTGATTTCATATTGTTCAAACACACATGTTTTACAATCAATTTGTACAGTTAATACAATCATCACAGTGGTCCTGAGGTAACATACATCCTCAGCTTATGAAGAAAACGGGATTAAGAGATTAAAGACAGGCATAAGAAATCATAAAAGTATTATTTGGTAACTGATAAGTGTCCATGAAATCTTCACAATTTATGTTCCTCTGTCATGGCTCCAGCTGGTCCCTCCATTTGGGGTCCCTGACTTCCTGCAACAAGTGGATAGATCAGATGGATGCTTTGTGAAGGTCATTCAACCTGCCCAGTGAAACATCACACAACACCAAATAAAGGAATAAAAGTGGCTAAGCCAGAATCAGGGCTAAACCAGAGGCAAGGAATGGTCTTATCAATGCCTGAGTGGGTGTGTATGTGTGTGCTATTAGCCTTACAAGAGCTTGAAGAGTAGGAGAGTTTTGAAGTCCTGTTTTGAAGAACTTAGTGAAAATATACATCTCCTAATTTTAAATATATATTCAAGAATTGGACAAATTAGAAACACTTTGCAAGTTTTATTTTCCCCTCTATGATGACCTATGAATTTGAATCTTGACCACCTTCACAAGCTAACAATGTCCACAAGCAATTGCTTTACTTCATTGCCAAAGTAACATCTAGAAATCTCCTTTCTGTCCTCTGAACAACTGTAGCGACCCAATAATCTAATTTGGTGACTCATAAATGATTGTGTTCCATCTCTTGACATTTATTTTTAAATTCTACAAAAACACCAGCTCACAGGATGTTGGTTTTTTCCTCCAGTATTTCTGCTGTTCCCCAGCTGTTTGAAATGCGTTGTGGTTTTGACTTCTTCAAACTACCTCCTGTGATGAAGATTACCTTAATTGCTTGTTTGTAGAACATTCAGTCAGAGACATAATATGCTGTAATAATTATTAATAGGTGAAGGCTGACATTTTACATTCCTTGTTATTCTGTTAGCAGTTTCTTATGACTACTTTTTGGCTTTTTAAAAAAAACTTGCCTTGAAGACAGAATATCCTTTGAAGGTTTGGGATCACAATGCTATCATCCCCTAAAGGGCCGCAACATGGTCAGAGAAAAGGCTTCTTTTTTTCTTTCAAACAATATTCAACAACCATTTATTGAGCATCTATTATGTGCCAGACACTTGTCCAAGGTGTAGGGCATACCGATGTAAACATATCAGATTAGACTTTACCCCCTTGGTGACTAAATTCTAATGGAGGAAACAGAAAACAAGCATGCAAACAAATCAGTGTGTGAAATAATTTAACATAATGACAATGCTATGAAGAAAATAAGCAGAAACCATAAGCAACCAATGTTTTTATGTGTGTGTGTGTTTTTTCTCCCCAGAGCCATTGCATGCACATTTAAAAATTCCAAATATATATTCAGTTTTCCCCTTTCTTATGCAAAAATTTTGGCATACTGTACCATATATCCGTTTTTACTGCCATCTCTTTTCTGCTTAGCCATATATCTTACAGATCATTCCTTATCACTACTTAATGAACTTCTTCATTATTCTTATATGGCTACAACATATTCCATTGTGCAGGGGTACACAGCTTATTTCACCGGACTTATTTGATAGATATTTAGGTCATTTCTAGTCTTTTGCTCTCTCAGTCAATGCTGTAATGAATATCCTTTTGCATATATCATTTTGCACATGCAAAGGTCTAACTGTAAGAGGTTAAATTGTTAGGTCATAAGTATGCATATTTGTAATTTTTAAGTGAATGAATTTTATGCTATAGCTTTTATTAATAGGAAATATGTATACATAGTAAATCTTAGACATAAACAAAATTGCATATAATGAAAATTAGGTCCTCCTCACATCTCTTTTCTATCAGCATCAAATTCCTTTCTCCAAAGGACACAAATGTCACTTACTTTTTGCTTTTTATCTTGTATATCATTCCAGACACTCTCTGTCTCTCACTACACACATGCACACACACATACACACACACAAACTCACACACACACACACATAATAGGGATGCATAGACTTTATTGTCTCATCATTGTATTTCTGCCATATAGCATCATTGCTCTGGATGCCATTAATACAAGTGCTGGTTATATTGGCTTCCCCATGCCTTTCATGTAGGGAAGGGCAGCTATGGGTATGAAGTCCTATACTGCCCTTGGCCACAATTTTTTGAACCTGTTCCATAAGTCCTTCCTTCCTTTTGTCTTTGGTGCTTGTCAATCATTCTGAGATCTTCCTTAACCATCATGCTAGAGGCTCTGTGTGTGTGTCTGTGTGAGTGTGCATGGGTGTGTGCAGTGGATCTTCTATTGCCTTTGTCCTCAAATTCCTTTAGCAAGTGGCTTACTCTCAACGTTACGTGAGGTACATCCTTCAATAATGCCCTGAAAAAAAGGTTTATGGGAGGTAAATTTTCTGAGACCTTGAATGCCTGAAAATATTTTTGTTCCATCTTCTCACATAATAGACTGCCTGACTGGGTATAGAATTTTAAGATAGAAAATAAATTTCTTCAGCATTTCGAAGATATTCTTCAATTATCTGTGAGTTCCCAGTGTTGCTCTTGAATAAGCTGAACAATTCTGATTACAAATCCTTTGTAAGGGACCTCCTCTTTCTTCTCTCAGATTCTAAAGATCCTGTTGATGCTGATGTTTTATAATTTCACAATGATGTACCTTATTGTTGATTTATTTTTACACATTGTGTTGGGCACTAAGGGCACCCTCTTAACTTAAAAAAAATATATGTTTTTCAGGTCCTGGTAATTTTCTCGAATGATTTCATTGACTGTTTCCTCCCTCTACTTCTTCTATTCTGTCTTTTTAGACTTCCTATCATTTATTCCTGCAACTTTTAGAATACTTGTCCTTTGATTTTGTTAATTCATTTCTCTTATTTTTTATCTTTGACTTTTTACTTAAGTTCTGCGAGGTTTTCTCAATTTTACCTTCAAAGCTTTCTGGTGATATTTTTCTCCTCTGCTCTCATGTTTCATTTCAGAAGCTTTTTTTAAATGCCTGAATGTTACTTTTCTATAGCATTTTGTTCTTGCTTCATAGAAGCAAATATTGATTTATCTCATGATGTGTGCATACATCCAAGTTTTTTTCTCTTTCATTCTATAAAGACTGGGGATTAAAAGACGTGTTAATGTGCTGCCACATCAGGACAGCTATGAAATCCCAGGGTCAGAAACCTAACAGGAGCAATCACCCCACAGGCCAAGCTAGCCACAGAGTGACGCCAAATCAGCTTCTCAGCTTCCTGTCTCCACCATATACTGTTGCCTGCAAGTGGACAGTGCCACTATGTCTTTGCCCTCCGTCCCTGTGGAGGCAACACAGTATTGTGCATAGAAAAGAAGGCTGAACTGGGGGATTGTGATGGGAGGCTAAAAACTAGGAGGCTTGGAAATGTGATTGGTGCCTAAAATTTTAATAACTAGATTAAAAAATTACTAGTCCTGATTAAGTTCACTGAACTAGGGTAGAGCAAACTGTCTTCTCCAGATGGGTTAGGAGTTCAAAGCCAAGAAAATAGGAGCAATCATGAAAAACAAATATCAGCCTCAAGATTATATGTATATGAAGAGTGATGCTCTAGTTACACCTGTTTTTTCATATTATGTGTCTATTTTTACAGGTGCTTGAGTGAGAGTCAGATCTCCATATACCAATCATGGAGCAGAGGTGCTATGAGAGATTCCTAACTCCTGAACAACTGTGACAAAGATAGGTGTCTGACCACCAAATGTTCCTGTTTTCCCCACAAGTGGCAGCTCTGCCAGGGAATGCATATTTCATCTAGGTAGGGTTATGTGATTAATTCCCCTTAAAGACATGTAAACAGCAGCAACAGATGCCATTTCTCACCTGAGGTTGTTGGTATGGGGTGCATGATCCTCTGCATATTCATTTCCTCCGCCATGGATTCTTAGCATCAGGAGCCACAGGAAAGAAGCCATCTGGATTTCTGAGTCATTATTTGGAGGAAAACCTCATCTTGAACTGAGACATGAGTAAAAGACAAACTTCTGAAATTGTACTAAGCCATTAAGATGTGAGGTTCTTTTGCGTAATGGTCTGCCCTCATGAACACACACAGACACATTTTGTCGGCTTACTAGGAATGCCCTTTGTGTTACTGAGCTTGCTGCTAGTGACAAGATTACAAATATTCTTACATTTAGGGGCACATTATATTTTGGGGATGCATTTTACATAACAACTATGGTAGAGCTATATTCCATTGTTAAAAACAAAAATCCACAATGTATGAAGGTGCAGGCTCACACCAACAGATAAAACAGGTAACTATCCCCACAGCACAAGAGGATTATTCACTTCACCGAATTATCCATTTTAGCATGAAAAAAAAAAAAGTATCAGGCTTCCTTAGGAGATACAACTAACCTAATAAGATGGGCATTACTTTCATGCAGAGGCCCCTCAGCTCCTGCTTTTCAAAGACCACCCAGTTCACTTGAAATGTGGTGCACCTAGGAAAAGTCATTCCAGGGGCTCAGGCAGGGCCCTTCTTGCTCTCTTGCACATTCCTTCCAAGCACTCATTTCATTGGCAGGTAGTACTCCTGAATATACCTCACATGAGAGTAAACTGGGCAAGAATAGTGAGCTTTCCCAGCCACCTGGAGCTCAGAACCCCTGCTTACCTCATGTGGGACTTTCAGCTCTCCATCCCCACTTTGGATTATTGTTGGAAGCTCCTGGTGCATGTTACTTCTCAATCTCCTAGACCTTCCAGAACATCACAGAATGTCCTCACTTCAGTTCCCTTCAAGAGTCACCCAGGACACAGCGTGTTAGCATTCCCGTAGGTTTGCCCCACACACAAAGCTTATCTTAGCTTTGGAGATAAGCAAGAAACATCTCTTAGAACCATCCCACCTCTTCTTTCCACTTGTGGACATGCCTATCTTGGGAAAGGCTGATGATATAAAAGAGATTTCCAAATTCCCATGGGTCAGTAGACATTCCAGCTTTCCCAAACCTTAACAACAAACCAAAGCATTTGTGGTAACTTTTGCGTCATATGATATTTATAGAAGTCTACCTATTGTAAAAATGTACAATGGTAATAGTAATAGCTGATATTTTTTGAGCACTTACAGTGTGCTAAATACTCTTCTAACGCTTTACAAGTATTAACTCATCGCCAACAAATGTTGAATATTTTCATCCATTCTTCTTATCCAGATGTAGATAAGTAGAATGAGATTCTATTTACCTGTCATTATGATTCTTCTGTACTGGTGGATGCATACCATTTCTGGTTTCCCGGCTCATAGGCCTTGCTCGTCTGACCTCTGACTAAACCAGGTTTTGATAATTGCAGTTGTTTTTATTCCCTGTCTGCAGTCTCTTCCACATTCTCTCCCACAAATATTCCTCTTCCACATATCCTTTCCTTCAGTTGTAATAAAATTATATACCATACACAAGATTTGATATTTGCAGAATGATTTTTAGTATCATAGGCTTATATGCTTTTGGAAGTAGAAGAAGTGGAACTTCATAAAACTTTTTGGTTTTTCAAGATATGAACACTGACCAGCGAGATGAAGTTACTTCCCTAAGATTGCACAGTTGGTCTGTTTAGCTGGTACTAGACTTCAGAGAGGATTCTTCCAAGTCCCCACTTATCACTCTGTGCTCTGTAAAAGAGAAGATGGCTTTCATCTTAAAGCTCATTTTAAATCATGAAGTGGGTAAAAGGACAGTCAGTCTGTGTGTGTGTGTGTGTGTCTCTCTCCTTTTCTCTCTATTCATTCATCTTACCATCACCTAAATTGCTTAGGTAAGTTTTCTCAAAGTGCACCTGGGCATAAATTTCCTTGGATCATACTAGTCATATTGCCAATTTATATGGAGGTATCCAATGATAAAGTGACTACCATGTCTGTTTACTTATAAATGTTATACATAATGAAAAATGCAGTAGCTGCAAGAATTTTACATGCTTCTGTGTATTTTGTTATTTAATCACAGAGTTTTCTGCATTTTTTGCATTTATTTACCTTTCGAAGGATTAGAAGTTTTAAGATGTGTGAAAATGGTTGAACCATCTACAAGAACTCTAAAAATCCAAAGAAGAAATGTTGATGAGGAAAATCAAATGGACTATTACACTGAAATAAGACTTACTATTGACGATGATAAAGATGGATAAAAAATGGAATAATGAGAAAAATAACCGGAAACATTAAGGAGTGTAAAATGCAATGGATGATCCAGCAGTACACAAGTTTGGGAGCATGATGTTAGAAATCTGCAAAACCTTGAGAATGGAAGATTTGGGGACAATCTTTAAATATATTAAATAAATTACCTAAATGTTGTCAAGATGGAAAGGTTCCTCTGGGATCACTGTTTGTGAAAGCCACTGAATAACAAAATCACTGTGTATACATGTGAAGAAAATAACCTACAGAATGTATACTAAAGAACACAGTTTAGCAATGACTTTCACGTCACAGGATACCAAGATAAAGTCACCATCTGGAAATGGTTCAAGCTATTTTCAAATACTTGGCCAGAAAAACAAATGCATCAATATTTTATTAATAGCTATTAAGCTTTGCTTAATGCATATGTTATGTAGCATATGGGCAAAGTTATTATTAATTCCCATATAAAGAAATGAAAACTCTAATAGGTGTTTGGCAGAGCCACTAACCTTCTAGGATCCCACATTCTGGTATCCTGACCTAGCCAGTGGTAGCCTCAGAGTAAGAAGAGCAGGAAGAGGAATAGCTGGACTTGCAGCACAAGTCATACAAAATTTTAAATTTTTTTCCTAGGGTTTTTTCCTCCCTTATTTGGCTTCAGAATCAAGGCTGAGTTTGAGCATCCAGGTTTAGACGGAACATTGAAAAACTTGCAGATATATGAGGCGGTTGGGGAAGCAAAAGGATTGTGGCTAATCTAGTGACTAAGTCATAGGAGGGAAAGTTGAAGAAGTTGGATTCAATACTCAATGGAGTGATGGTACTCCTCCAATATACCAGCGACTGAACCATGCTCTGGGGAGATGGTGGTGAGCAATGCAGTAGAATTCCCTCCTTCATAGAGCTACCATTTAGTGATAGAGACAGACAAATGAATAAATGATTTTAATGTACTGCATTAATATTTATAAAATAGATTAAGAGCAGAATGCCATGAGAGGGGCGCCTGATTCTGCTTTGTGATGGGGATGGTTGGGGGTGGGGGTTGAAACTATGAGTAGGAGGGATTCATTTGATGGGAAAAGAGGGCATTATAGGCAGAAGCTGTATATTGAAGTGCACGTGGGAGAGAAAAATGGGCTTGGGAACTCAAAGTAGTTGAGAGTTTGATACATTTTTTGTGAAAGATGAGTGATGGTATGTCTGGAATTGGTGGGTTCTTGGTCTCGCTGACTTCAAGAATGAAACTGGGACCCTCGCGGTGAGTGTTACAGTTATTAAAGATGGTGTGTCCAGAGTCTGTTCCTTCAGATGTTCAGATGTGTTCGGAGTTTCTTCCTTCTGGTGGGTTCGTGGTCTCACTGGCCTCAGGAGTGAAGCTGCAGACCTTCGTGGTGAGTGTTATAGATCTTAAAGGTGGCGTGGACCCAAAGAGTGAACAGCAGCAACATTTATTGCAAAGAGCGAAAGAACAAAGCTTCCACAGCACAGAAAGGGACTGAGCGGGTTGCCGCTGGCTGGCTGGGGCAGCCTGCTTTTATTCCCTTTTGCGGCTCCACACACATCCTGCTGACTGGTCCATTTTACAGAGAGCTGATTGGTCCATTTTACAGAGCGCTGATTGGACCATTTTGATAGGGTGCTGATTGGTGCATTTACAATCCCTGAGCTAGACACAGAGCGCTAGACAGAAAAGTTCTCCAAGTCCTCACCAGGTTAGCTAGATACAGAATACTGATTAGTGTATTTACAAACCTTGAGCTAGACACAGAGTACTGATTGATGTATTTACAAACCCTGAGCTAGACAGAGTGCTGATTGGTGCATTTACAATCCTTTAGCTGGACGCAGAGTGCTCGACAGAAAAGTTCTCCAAGTCCCCACTAGGTTAGCTAGATACAGAGTACTGATTGGTGTATTTACAAACCCTGAGCTAGACACAGAGTGCTTATTGGTGCATTTATGATTCCTTAGCTAGACATAAAGGTTCCCCAAGTCCCCACTAGACTGAGGAGCCCAGCTGGCTTCACCTAGTGGATCCCGCACAGGGGCTGCAGGTGGAGCTGCCTGCCAGTCCTGAGCCACACCTGCACTCCTCAGCCCTTGGGTGGTTGATAGGACCTGGCGCCATGGAGCAGGGGGCTGCGCCTGTCAGGGAGGCTCAGGCTGTGCGAGAGCCCACAGCTAGGAGGAGCTCGGACATGGCGGGCTGCAGGTCCTGAGCCCTGCCCCACGGGGATGTGGCTGAGACCCAGCGAGAATTCAAGCACGGTGCATGTGGGCCAGCAGTGCTGGGGGACCTCTGCAGCTGCTGGCCAGGGTGCTAAGCCCCTCACTGCCCTGGGCAGCAGTGCTGGCCTGCCGCTCTGGGTGCGGGGCCCCCCGAGCCTGTGCCAGCCGGAACTCACGCTGGCCTGTGAGCACCCACACAGCCCCGGTTCCTGCCGGGGCCTCTCCCTTCACACCTCCTCGCAAGCTCCCGGCCCTGGCCAGCCCAGAGAGGGGCTCCCACAGTGCAGTGGTGGGTTGAAGGGCTCCTCAGGTGCCGCCAGAGTGGACGCCGAGGCCAAGGAGGTGCCGAGAGTGAGAGCTATTAGCATATTTTCACCTTTCAATGGGCCTGAGGAAAGAAGCCAAGAAACACATAATGAAGGGCTACCGGGGATTAAAAATTGAGCTTTCTTTTGAAGGCAGTAAGAAGCTATCTGGTGTTACTTTTTTAAAGATGTTGATGTTGGAAATATTTTTGAGGCTAATGTATTACCAGTGGATTGAAGATTAGAAGGGGCAAGACTTAAGGTAGGAAAGTCTCACAGGGCACCAGGAATCATTCAAGGGAGAGGATGTAATGGGCGTGAGAATGCAGAAGATCAGATTTTAACTAGGACATAAATGTACGCACAATTTTGATATACCAACAATGTCAATAAAATGGTAATATTCCATGGCAGAAATCTAAACTTAGGGGAATATTACAATCTCTAACAAGTTTTAGGAAACAGTCACTATCTTTACTTTATGTGTCTTCCTAGGAAGAAGAGTTTGCCTTCCTTGCCAGGCACTAAATGCTTTTCTTAGTCTCCTTTGCTGCTAGTATGCAGGCACAGGATCAATTTCACCAACAGAAGGTGCCACAAACTCTGACATGGGAACTAGTAGAGACCAAGAAACACTGTACTTTGGTGGCAAGCCAGGAAGACTGAATTCCCAGGGAAGTGGTGGCAGTGAGGTCATGGTTGACACTCCTGTGAGCAGACTGGTGGGACAAGCTGTGGGAACTAGCTCACAAACATTAGCAATGGAGACATCACCAGTTCTTTGACCTGATCTAAGGTGCTGTTCTGTCTGCATAGTTTGTGAGTCTTGTTGTTATCCTCTTTTGGTGATTATGTGAACTACGCAGTATTCTTATAATATATTCATATTTTGCTTCAAATCAACCAGAGTTTATATATATTGCTTGCAACTAATAATCCTTATCAAAAGAAGACAATGCAAAGAAATACTGCACTCTAATGACCTGATTCTAGAATGGTAAACATGAAAAGGTTTCATCGATAAATGCTCTCTTTGTTCACTGTTAAACTCTCTCTAATAAAATAATTGCTCACGTGATGTATGGGAAACAGGATAAAGAGACTTGAGTGCAACTGAGTTGTTTACTGTTTTGTTATTCTAAGTGAGCAAAGGATTCTGGAAAAAATTGCATGGTATGGAAACTAATTCACACTAATGTATAAATTACTCTATGACTAATTTGCATTTGAAAATAGAAACTTGTATTTTAACCAAATCTGTAATTAAGGCAGAGTGGAAAGATTCTTAGGACAAGTTAATTAGGCACATTGTCTCATTCCATTCCAAATCTCCTCAGCTACCCAGAAAAGTATTCCACATAGGAACAGACATGAAGAAAGAGATGGTGACATAGGGAGGGTTCATTTCATTTCCAGAGTTTCCTTCACCAGAGCATCTTCCCGAGAGTAGAGTCCTTTGGTCTACTTTGGACTATGGAATACGAGTCAGGTAATTAAATATTTAAATATCCTAGGGCAAAACCCTGAAATCTCCCTGGCCAGAAGGGAACACTGGGAACTTTGACCTTTGTTATGGTTATTCTGTTGACACCTTGACCACTGAGCGTGAATTGGGGAGCTAAGGAAATTGTGTGACCACTGTTCTTTTTCAGATGAAGGTGCTAATTTTTCACTGGTTTATTTGTTTAATTAAAATTGTCAGCATTTACTGAAAAATAATGTAAGAATCATTGTCATATGTTCCTAGTTAGTCTTCTAATCACAGGTGCATTAGCTGTTTCATAGGGGTTTTTGCCTTTACTGGGCTGGCAGAATGGGATTCCTGGAATGAGACAAATACATTTTCAGAGTTTAACGATTTGAGTCAAGGCAGAAACCCTTAAACAAAGTGTTAGTCTCGAATAGAACAAATTTAATAATTATGTTTCTCTTATAGGAGTCATTAACCAAAATTTGGTCTTTAGTTTCTTCTAGTGAAATAACTGAAAAGAAAATGTTAATTTCATTCATTCATTCACTTATTCAACAAAATACATGCACTGACGTCTGTCAATATGCCACATTCTGTGCTAGACCTTAAGGATTCAAAGATAAGATAAAATGCATCTCACATTTCCAGGAGCTCGCAGCCTAATTCTGGAAAGATGTTTAGGCTCAAGTATGCTACATGGTAGTTGGTAATTTTTAGCTGCATGCACTAAAATAGCTTTACATTCTTGCTACCACTTTAGAATAGCACTGAAAGGACTTCAGGGTTTGTGTTCTCTGTGGGGGAATTACTCATCTAATTCTCATTAGTGCAAATGGGAAAGAGGTGTAAATCCACAGTGATCTAGCTGAGAAAAAACAAATACTCCTTATTTGACTTCTGTTGTTTGTTTATATTTGTTCCGGTTGACTCAGGGAAACAATCAGGAAAATTACCCATGTTCAATTGCCCGGTTGCTCCAGAACTCTTGGAGTGCCTAATCACAGTTAATAATTAAAACAAAGCAAGAAGACTCAAATGTTGGATTTAAGTATTATCAAGAGAGAAAGAAACCATTTGAGGGGGAAAATATGAGGAGTGTTTTGTGGTAGATAGACTTTTATGACAGAAACATGGGCTCTAAAGAGAGAAAGATTTTTTTTTTTTTTTTTTTTTTT